GTGTTACTATAGGTACGAATTGAAAAATTATTTTTTCAATAGTTTATTCGAGACTGTAGAATGATTATCCGTATGTCCAGAGGAGCTAACTTGATCGTTAAAATAAAATTATGTGATTTTGCCTTTAGGTGGTAAAAAAGACTAATGTATGTTATAAACCAATCCCTTACTTCATTAGATTATACCAGTTAAATGACAAGAGTCTAAGAAAAAAAAATTGTGCGTGTACTAGGTGTACACACGTAAGAAGTGAAACTTCTTTATGATCTTATTTTTCGAAAAATGATCTACTATATGCAACTTTACAGAAATTCGTTAAATTAGATAAAGTTTATCAAAAGGCTTTTATTATCATAGACATGAATACAAATATTTCATTTTACCTTATTACTACGAAGATTATTATAGAATTTCATTAATTGTAATAGAATTATTACTATCATTGAAAAACGTGACGATTTGCTACAAAATTTCTCCCATACGTCGATAAAGAAGTTTCATTCCAACGCCGATAAAGAAGTTTGACATCAAAAAGCAACATGGCGCGTAACCGAAAAATGTGACGCGTAACGAAAAAATGTTACACTAAATTTTTTTCCAACCCCGATAAAGAAGTTTCACTTCAAGAAAATGCTTTTTTGACATACTTGCTGGGCTATGCTACTTCCTATTGGAAGAATTGAATTGGAGAGATATCTTATAAGACGAAAAATAATTGGAAGCGCCGGGTATCGATCCCGGTACCTCTCACATGCTAAGCGAGCGCTCTACCATCTGAGCTACGCCCCCCCGATACAATTTACATTTAAAAGTTAATACATAAGCGATTTATTAACCTCGAAACTTGCATTACAAGTACAACAACCTTTCACTTTACGAAATATATTAATATTACACAATCACAGTTTATTATCACACTAAAAAATAAGACATAGAATTGTGTCTGTTTAATTAAAAACGTCTATGGGACTGGCGATATTATTTTGTAGACATTTTTTTCTTCAGCCTGCCTGGTTTCGAGATTGAACAATAGATTTGTGCAGCCGGGGTTAGAACCAAGGACCTCAAGGTTAGCCGTTAGCACTGCACTGATATTGCTATCCAATTGATGACTTTAAATTTAAAAAAAAAGCACTTCAAGCTTCTTAGGTCTGGGTCTCAGATTTATGTAAGTTTTATGATCATTTGTCAATCTTGCGTGTTGTTCCCACGAGAATGTAAGTGCGTGCACCTATTTCACCATGCCTCCTGCTGATAGAGGACAACTGTTTGTCTTTAATTTATGTTATTATTATTAATTACTTAAGATGTCATGTGGAACATGGTGTAGTGGTTGCAGCTTACAAACATTGTGTTAAACAAAAAACTTGGCGATTAAAAAGTGTGGCGGAGAGTTTATTGCCAGCTCTTCTCTTCCGTTCTACGCCCTTGATTTGAGAACAGTAAATGTAAAATTTTAAGAAAATGTATATTTATTTTTTGACGTTCATAAGTGTACATTGTGTTCCCTATATGAATAAATGATTTTTGACTTTTAATAGGCAAGTAGGTGATCAGCCCCCTGTGACACGCCGTCGACTCACACTGTTTTCCTTCACCGTTCGAGCGAATGTTATATGCGCACATAGATAGAAAGTCCATTGGTGCACAGAAGGGAATCGAACCTACGATATCAGGGATGATAATCGCACTCTTAAGCCACTAGGCGAACATCAACCTAAACACTTCAAAAGTCATTAAAAGTATTCTTAAAAACCTTTTATCGAGATTGGAAGAAAATTCATCGAACTATTTGAATTAAAAATATAAAATTTGAAAAGTTCTTATCAGCGTTAATTAGAGATCGAAGCAAAACGGACGTTTTATTTTTCAAGCGAACGAGCACCCAATCGTTTATGAGAATTTTTATATCAGCAAATATTTGAGTGACGTCATTTCCCCTCGCTCATCTCACCCTAACCGCAGGGGGCTGCAGCATCCATTTTGCAAATAGAACTCCAATGTAATATGTGAGCCTGGTATTTTTATTGCATAAATCGCTTAGGATTAGATTTTGCAAGCTTTAAAAAACACGGTTTAGCGAAATGAAGTTTTTTATATCATGCAGCTTACTCTAGTATAAAGTCTGTTGTAGCCCTATTACGAAATAGTATTTATTTTACCCCGTTAATCAATAGTGAAACTGAACTTACGTACAGTATTTGTTATGTGTCGTACATTATAAGAACAGGTATAGGACAAGTACTTTGTGTAATTGTTGAACAGAAGGCTAAATAAAAAAAGGGTGCGTGTACTTATGTGCGCGCGTAAGAAGTTCTTTGGCATTATTAAAAATAGTTTTTGATTGCATGCAAATAATTAATTACAATTAAATAATCAAAGACTGGAAAAGGAGTCATTATAGTCAATAAAGTTCAGTTTACATTTGAAAAATTCAATAAATAAATATTTATTATTATTCTCTTACATTAAGTGTAACATAAATTCTATTATTATTCGAATGTTGTTTTTAAACTATGTCCAATGCCGTAGCATCTTCCGTGGGCAACTTCATTCTGTTAATTTTGTGTCCCGGTGCGCGCGCATCGTAAAGTTTCACTCTCATCAATTTTTCATAACGCGCCTAAAGAAGTATAACTTCAAAAATTATGTTTATTTCCAGTGATTAAAAAAAATTATTTATGCACGTATCAATTACGAATGGTATATTGAATATAGAGCCCGGGGAATATAAATTCGTGAAATAAAGTTAGACGCTTCCAGCTGTTCAAAGTAAGGCTGGACTTAGTAGCAAATATATTTCTAAGAAAAAGACGATTAGAATGCTACGTTTGGTGTAGAAAGTTTTTTTTAATTTAAGAAACGCTCAGTTACTCATCGACGGACGTGAGTTATATTTTGTTATAATATTTACTAGCCGTTTCCCGCCCACTTTGCTGGGCGAATTAAAATAGGAAATAAATAAAATTGTATGTTTCATTATTATTATTTTTTCATATTTTTATTATTCTTCTTTTTAACTTCCCGCTAAGAAAATTGAAAATTTTCGAAAATCGAGTTTTTAACAGATGTTGTCGTTTTGAGGTTCTAGCCTCCCCGAATGTTTCCGCGGTGAAGTCCGTATGTATAAATTTTCATAAAAGTAAAACAGCAATAAAAAAATGAAGGAACGTTGGAAAGTAAAAAATAAATAGCCATAAACCATCAAGGAATTTCGCATCGAATGGCAGTAGTTTCATGTCGATACGATCAGTGGTTTAGGCGTGAAGGAGCCTCAAACGAAGACCATTTTTCTTATATATGTATATAGATTGATTATATGTGGTTTAATTGTCTTTGACGGCAAGATGGCGTACTAATTTATCAAACCAAATTGACTGAAGCAATCTGGTGATTAAAGAAACTGCAGTTAAAAAACCTTTTTAATTAACTTGTTGACGTCACTAGAGTTTTAACTCGGGGATTGAAAGTTGACAAACATATAGAATATACATATGTGAGGTCATCCGCATTTTAATACAAGTGGAGTGTATCCTCCGGTGGCTCTCTCGGTAATTACACATGCAAAGCGACCTTTGCAGATTACAAAATGTCGGAAACAAGGGATTTCTTTTTTCCTTGCGTATTCGTTATACCTCGATACGCTGTTTTCAAATGAAATTCCCTGGTCATTTCATGTGCTCGTCATTTTTATAACAATTGTTTAAAACATGTGTTCGTCAATTACCTGAAAAGTTCGTAGGCTTAACATAGATTTTTTTTTTTATTGAATTTGATTTGATTATTTCGCCTTCGCGATACAACGATTATACCGGTCACTTTTCGATTTATTTGATTATTATATATAATGCATTTTCTACAGTTTATGTTATCTAAAAAATGATTAAAAATTAAATCAATGGCGCTACAACCTTTTAAGGTCTGGGCCTCAGATTTCTGGATCTGTTTCATGATCATTTGTTAATCTTATAGTCAAGTATCAGCCTTCTGTGCCTGACACATGTCGATTTAGGGGTTTGAGATCTTTTACAATAACAAACATAATTTTTATAATAAACATTAAATTTTTCACTTAAGAAACTTAAATGGTAGGTTTTAGAAAGAAACTACTAGGTTAAGAGCTCTTGTTAACGACAACGGACAACGGCCCGATTTTTATAACGGGCGACGGGCCGACGCGCAGTGTTCAAGTAAGTTGAGTGAATGTTTGTTAACGCGACGGGCTCATACCCGTTGCAACGTGACTCAACGGATGCGCGCACGTTGCCCCTCGGCGCGACGGCGGACTGTCCGATGCAGTGAACTACGGCATTTCATAGAAGTGTGTTGACGACGACGGATGTGCGCACGTTATTACATTATATTTCTATCTACCTACCCTCTGCTGCTCATTGTGAATATGGAGTTTACCATTGATATGGATTTATTAATTAGCCTTGTTCAGAATAGGCCTATGTTATGGGACAAAACTATAGAAAATTACAAAAATAAACAAGCAAATTTTGCGGCATGGAAAGAAATCTTCGTAATGCTAAATGAAGATTTTTAAACATTATCTGATAAATAATAATCAACGTACGTGCACTTCTCCCTTCAAATTTAATAGAACTGATATCGACAACAACGGACGCGTTCACGTTATATTTAGCGTATCGTGTACAAAGGTAGCCGTTTTGCGTTGGCCCGTTACCCGTTGACAAAAACGTTCGTTAACAAGAGCTCTAACGAAACGCAATAAGTAAACTTTCAAAACATATATTTTCGCAGTGTCCCCCTTTGGGGCGTGTGTGATAGGAAACACTGCTGTATAGGTTTGTAGCGCTTACGCATTATTACTTAAAACGTAAACTACGTAAAGAAAGTCGGAAACTAAATATGTATGAAAATTCGTCGACACGAACTTTCATTTTCATACAAGTTCAGTTTTGACTTTCTACATACACGTTCAGGAACGTTTACTAAGCACTGATCGCAGCAGAGCCTGAATCTATCAGTTTAATATGTCAAATGGAGCCTTTTCTCCACCGTTATTATCAAATAACGTAAGTGGAACTGTCCGGTTGACCACCAATTGGATTGGCTTTGTCCGGTTATCACGTAAGTGTCTACGTTACATTCTAGGAAATGTCACATTGTTTCTGGTTAACCGATATACTTAGAATTATTATCTTAATATATATAAACTAGCCGTTTCGCGCCCGCTTTGCTGGACGAATTAAAATAAATTTTATGTTTCATTATTTTATTTTTTTTCCATATTTTTATTATTCTTCTTTTTAACTTCCCGCTAAGAAAATTGAAATATTTCGAAAATCGAGTTTTTAACAGATGTTGACGTTTAGAGGTTCTAGGAAGCCTCCCCGAATGTTTCCGCGGTGAAGTCCGTATGGATAAATTTTCATAAAAGTAAAACAGCAATAAAAAAATGAAGGAACGTTGGAATTTAATAAATAAATAGCCATAAACCATCTAGGAATTTCGGATCGAATGGTGGTAGTTTCATGTCGATACGATCAGTGGTTTAGGCGTGAAGGAGCCTCAAACGACGACCATTTTCCTTTTATATATCGACGTAGGAAAGCATATTTGCTGTAAGTAGACATATTGCAATTGTTCACCAGAGCCAAAAAACTTAATTAATTTCGGAAAAAAATTAATAGTGTCGAACCTATCCATGATATTGCTACCATTTTTGAAACATATATTTATTTAACTGCCAGTCACCATTTGCAATGTAAACTTTTTATCCAAAGTTACTATAAGTACGTGTTTGGCTACTTACAGCATACAGTTTTTTTAATCACAAACCTTTAAAACGCTGTAACTAAAGAAGAAAAATTTACGCGCGGAAATATTATCAATTTACTGGCGGTAAATATGCTGTATGCAGTAAATTTATGTATTTGGGTACTTTCAATTGCAATTCAAGATGTAAGATTAGTTTATAATTATGATTAGATCTAGAAATGCAGTGGGTCATTTGGTAATGTAATGTTTGGTTGAAATAAAATGTCGTAAATGGTAAAAAAAACTAAAACTGTAGGTTCCCTAAGCTTGCTGTAAGTAAACGAATGTAAAAATCACACGCCGCAGAAATGCTGTAAGTAGCGTTAAGTTTTTAAATGGGAAGAAGTAAGTATTTGTAAAGTAAAAAATGCAGATTTTCTTTTGCTGTAAGTAAAAATTGTCTAAAATGACTGGATTTTGGTCTACATACAGCATTTAATCTTACTAAAAAAAATATAAGTACAGGCGTTTTCAACCGCGTATGTAAATTTTTTTTCATCGTAGAGACACAGGACCCGGGACATTCGATGCGGTTTTTTTTTCTGATTCTAATGGCAGTAAAAAGTCACTTTAGGTATTTTGTCTACTTACAGCAAATATGCTTTCCTACGTCGATATATAGATTACGCGTCACGGTGTTCGTCCGCTATGGACTCCTAAACTACTTAACCGATATCAATCAAATTTGCATACCGTGTACAGTTTAAACTAACTTAAAAGATAGGATAGCTTACATCTTAATTTATACCCGCAATATTATTTTATTGCAAATTATTTGTTTATTATTTGATAGACACAATTCTAACAGATGGCGCTGTGTTGAAAGTACCAACGTTTCACATAAGCTACAATTTAATGGCATAACCGTGATCGTGGTTTTTGGATACACATACATAGAAAAAGTTTACGTGATCACCAACCAGATGGACCGATAATGTAAACGTCTCATAGTCCTCAAAACTATACACTGTTATAAAAGATGGCTGGACAGAAACCGGTGGAAGAAGATTGTTCGTTCCAGATGTTTCCTTACTGATGAAGCTCAGACATGAGCTACCGACTGAAGGTATAGGAAATATATGTATAAGGCATAAGCAATATCATTCGTGTATGACAAGCGAGATATATTTAACACTTATCGGTTATATGGAAAAATAAAGAATAAATTATTTTATTACTACCCCTAATAAAATACTACTAATATTTTATACGATCCTGGTAATTTTATGGTGTAAGGGTAGAAATATATTGTTTGCCACCATTGTCATTCAATGAGCTTTTTATAATGCCGCCAAGCCACGCCCCTATAATGACTTGAGGGTCGTAATGTTTATGGACTTGACAGAGCTTTGAGTTTATGTGGTCCCGGTAGTTGGGACAGTTTAATGCTAATTTTAAACAATAATCAAAAAGTAATTTTGGTACTGGGATGATTGATTGATTAATGGATAAATATAATATATTAATAATCATTATCAATCGAAACGCTTCGCGCTTTTTATAAGTTGCCTGTGGAGGTTGGCAGGCGACGCATCGAAGTGACGCGCGATCGAATGGCGAATGACGTGTAGATGATGGTGATAAAAAACTTGGAGTGAGATAGATAAAGGGTTCGATTGGAGTGAACTTAAAATGTCGTTTCGTTGTATTTCACAGAGAAAAAATTTGTGGTTTAAGTGTTTAAATTCTCAATAATATATCTTAAATATATTTATATATTTTTCTAGATCTATATAATAAATAAACATTTAAATATTTATACGAATTGCTGTTGAAATATTTGCGGAAATTCTCTGAAGGAAGGAAGAAACACAATAATAACTAATAATACTTATATAATAATGTATGTAAGGACATTGTGTGATACGGAGTTTACAAGGTTATTTAGTAATTAATATATTACGTTCTTATAAACAAACAAAAGCTTGTATATTAAACAGATCCTGGTTGAGTATTTTTTTTGTATCTATTGTTAAGACACACAAAGGATCTTCAAGCACCAGGCGCCTAGAATCTATATAGAGACTGACCGATCGCGTAAATTGAATGTCCGAGTACGGGAGCAAGTTCCTTTGTCCGGCGGCTTTTCAAGATACAGCCAATATTTCAGCCGGTCAAGTGTTCCATACAATTGAATGGAGAAACGAAATTGTATTTCATGTTTGCTGACAAATAAAATTATTTAATTTTGTTACAGTTGGTCGGAGGCGAATTTGATATGGAGTTGAACTTCGTGATTCAAGATGCTCAGAACATTCAGCACATGCTGGAACTGCTGGACCACTGTCCACCGAGCTTACAGGTTTGTTACTTTCGTGGTTTTGTCTTACAAATTTTTGTGTATAGTATTGTTGGAGGGATGTTTAAATAACACTTTGTATAGAAGTTGGGTTCAAACATGAGCTTATAACTAACATAAAATTAGGGGTAGTTTGCGACGCTGGATTATCTAAAACCTAACTTGACTTTCAGGGTTCTTTAATCTAAGTTACACTTAAGTTCTATAAAGAATATAAGTGTAATCGACCTACAGACATTATCGGAAACAAGAATTATTTATATTTATGAGTGTGGCAAAAACAAAGCTTTTGGCTTTAAGTGTGCTATGATTGCTAGCATTTGGTTTACGCTTCTAATTATTAATTAACTATATATATATATTCTAACGACTTGAAATAGAAAACTGCTGTGTTTTATAGTACGAGGATGGTAGAAACTGTAAAGAGGTGTTAAAAGAACAATTTGTAATTATTTTCTTTCAATTCTATTTCACGATATTTTTGTTACAATTAATTAAAAAACCCGCAACAAATAAATCTATCAGAGCGTCAAACAAGCTAAGTTCTATCCGGTTTTTTTAGTACAGGAGGCCAGAGGGCTAGCGAGTGCGGTGCCGGCCTTTTATCATCTTATTAAAACAGTTAAATAATTTCGTCGAATAACGGCTAAAAAAATGTTTCCTAGATATATTATACAGGGCAAAACAACGTTTGCCGGGTCGGCTACTATATAGCTATATATATATGTGTTATTTATTTATGTTGTCGTTGAAACACTGTACGAAGCTCTCAAGTTTCTGAATAGCCCTTTTTGCGTCAATAAGCTCCTGTCAATACTTCCCGGCGTAAACAAAAGCTGGCGTCGGTCGTGTCAATGTGACAGTTGCCTTTTACCATCAACCCCATTCAGTTTACCGAATGACGCTTCAATTTTTATGCTCGCCTAGTATATCGACACCATAGGGGTTGATTTTCTATTGTTTTCTATCCTCATTTTCCCTTTATTTCTTATATAATTTATACTTAAAAGCTAAATAAATAACAACTACTAAGCAAACAAGTTAATAAAGACAATATAATATACCTAATAGATAGATAATATTAAAATCCTTTATTGGATTTTTCTAATAGAATTGTCACATGTGTGTGGATAATAATCTCTGAAATTTCATATTTAACTTCTTAAGTAAATAAAGTGCAGTAATACATACAATTGATAGTATTTAACCATAAATAATGCTTTGTTCAATTTTTGTATTAGAAATAACGAATATCTATAATTTCATCCTACTGCCACTAAGTAATCTTACATCGTTATTCATCCATTTCCTCCAAAATCATTTTGGTCTGAAAGCGATATTTCTTACCACATCGAACTTATAAATATCGACTGTACAACTGTACTGTACTGTACTGTACAAAAGTCCATGTTTCTTAAGTACGAAAAATAGACCAGAACAGTTAAAACATCAGCTTAAATAAAACGCATGAACTTAAACGCCCACAATTTATTTTTTTTGCTCCTGTGTAAGCCATGTAACTTATAAAGGGGCGGGGTAAGCAACCGTTCAGGATTATTTCTTTTTACTTTATTTCGTTTTGTAACTTTTATGGGTGCTCAAACGTATTGACCTTCTCGGCATTTCTGTCGCTCTAGTACTAATGTGGAGCGAACTAACCCTTTACACCCTTTTTTAGTTTATGGTTTGGTTAAAATTTAACTTATTTTTCAAAACTAGTTAATTAATTGTTGTTGGTTTTTGTTGTTAGACCGTTAAATACTTTCACTGATTTTTTAAATTATTTTATTATTGATAAAAGCTTGCAACATTGATACACAATGTAGTTTAATTTTATTATTATTTTAATTTTAAACAATATAATATATAAATGCAAAATTTATACATAAATATTAAAGCAAAATCTATTTTTGCAGGAAAAATAACATATGTATATCAAATGATAGCTATTATTTATTTATTTTATTCGTATTCGACGGTTTAAACATTTTTGTTATGTATTTAGTGTAAATAGTTAAAAAATAATTAAACGTTAAGTAATTTATCACTAGGTCAATTGGTGGGAATTGTCCATTAAAATAAAATTAAAAAAAAAGTTTTTCAAAAATTCTGGAAAAAATACAGTACATCACTCAAGGTCAAGAATGAGAAAAATATTAAAACAGTGGTAACAGTGCTTTACGGCTTTATACCCCGGGGCAAGCGATATATTTTGTTTTGTTTCATAGATCTTCTAATACTTCATTATGTTAGACCTTTCCCAACTGCCTTCAGTTACGATGGCGGTCCGATAAGTACTTAGCCTCACCATTATATATATATATATATATATATATAGGGATGCATCGATACGCTTTTTTGCCGATACGATACCGATGCCGACACACTTATAGGAATATCGTCGATACCGATACCGATACCAACGCTTATTGAATTAAAATTAAATTAAGGTAAAATATATCAAGTAAGTAAAGTAAAAGTTTATAATTTTTATTAAAAAATATATACAAAAAATAGTCTCAAACTTTGAATAACTTTAAAGGTTTTGTTACTAAAATTAAGAATTAAGAGTAATAATTAAATTAAAATAAAATAAATAACTGTTAATAGTTAAAATTAACAATGATAACATTGTTGTAATTCTGTATTGTTTTAAATTTGGTATCGAAAAAATACTACTCACGATAGCAGTTAAAAGCCAACTATGAATGATCTTCAAATCTACGTTCAATAAAGTCTCAATGATCTCCCACAAGCCATAATATCTAATAACTATGCGCTGGCAAAGATAGTTGACTCGAGTAAAAATTTTGGTCTACTAATCAATCCAACAAGAGTTTTTCGTACTAACTACTAACTGACGTGAGACTGATCGTAAATTATCGTGATTCATGTGCATTTTTTATTTTTCATGTAGACTTATTTAGTTTATATGTAATATGTATTTTTGCCCTCCTTTTCATTTAATTATGTTCAATTTTTATATTGTAATGCAACAAAGTGTTAATAAATAAATAGTGTTTAGTGAAATGAAATACATATATACATAAATAATAATGCTTTGTCCCCAAGCGAATAATAGAGACAACAAACTGAATAAAACGCGAGGATTTCTCGGGCAACAATAGTCCGTCATCCGTGGCTCGTTTGCAACAAACTAGATCATACAAAGTGCGCGTTTACATTATTTTTTTAAAGCGTGAAATTTGAAAAGTATCGGTGAATCGGCAATGAAAATATCGCCGATGCCGATATATCCTCAAACCCAAAGTATCGCCGATATATCGGTATCGGCATCGGTATCGGATGCATCCCTAATATATATATATATATATATATATATTTTCAGACGGGTTAAAGAAGGAACATCGCTAGTTCAAGTGTATCGAACTCAAAGGAGATTTTGTTGAGAAATAAAACGCCACTTTAAAAAAAAGTGCGTGCAAACTACACTTATCAGAAGTGAAACTTCTTTGGCAAACAAATTTTTAGCTCTTGTTCATATTTATACAAATCTAAAACTTTTTAGATTTCTAAAGATTTCCAAGACTTAGTGGGAAGGAAAGGAAGATAGATATGTTAGGAATTTAATGAATTTTAGTCATTGAAATATTAAGTGTCGAAAATTAATACAAATTTAATTATTTCTTTAATAATAAAAACACGTGGCATTTTAATTTACAATTCGTCATTTGAGATTTCAATAAATTATTTTGCATATGATATAAAATAGTAATATTTCATAAAATTTCTCTTTACGTTTTATTTAAAAATTGAATTTCTATAAAGTAATTCGCCCTTCTCACTCTCTCAATCGGTCTCTCCCTTTTCTTCAACAAAAGCGCTGCACATCTTCGTGACGCTAATTTGCTAAGAAGTTTCACTTCAGAAATGTTTTTGTAGGAAGTACTTATCGAACTAGACTCGTACATGTCATTAATTACATCGCATCATACGCCCAACAAAGTTACGTACAGCTCATTGAGATAACCAATATTTTTCGGGTAATCTTGGTGGAAAGATTGATGGATGCCCTTTAGGGAATATGCTGACGCATGCAAGTCTTTTTATAGCTGACACGAATCTTTTGGTATGCAATGTTTAGTGGCTAATTCTATTAAGCTTCAATTATTTATCATTTTTTAATGTAAAACGCAAAGGGGCAGGAGGCTCACCTGATGCAACGAATTTTGGGGGGGTCTATTTATAAAACGTTACGATGCGGGGCTGGGATTGAATTACGCGTTATTAACATTATTTTCGACTTTCCAGTACTTTGCACCACATAATGGTAACTTTTAGGTATAAAGAGTCACTGGGTGGTCACGAAACGTTAAAATGTTGTACCCAATAGTTTACTATGACAGAAAAACGTTACGGCGCGTTACATGGGGGGTGTCAATAATCTCCAAAAATTGCGTGACGTAATACTTGAACGCTCCCTAAGATGTTAGGCTCGCAAGTGCGTTGCCGGCCTTTTAAGAATTGGTACGCTCCTTTCTTGAAGGACCCTAAGTCGAATTGGTTGGACCCCATCCCCGTTGAACGCGAAAGGTAGCCTGTACGTTCATCACCGGGTGCTGAGCGTTTCGGTGGAGGCCCAGAGGGGGATTCTTTGTTTTGCACCTACATATTTCACCGCACGAAACACGATTACATCACTTCACGCCTTTTAAACGAATACTCTATACAACACAATCAATTCTTCTGTTTTCGTATTTATAATATTCCTATTTGTGAAGAGTTCATTTGCGTATCGGACGTCTAATATAGCCTATTCATGACTATAAATATTATTCAAGTATTTCCAGTTGCCAATACGTTATGACTTAAGAATCTATCGCAATTAGAAAATTCCATTGTATAAAAGCAATATTAGATACATTTAAAGACGAAACCACATCAGTAAAAAAAGTAATTAAACTCTAATTGTTTGAGAGTGCAGCGGTCAAAGCAATCAAGGATCGCCTTTATTGTCGGTCGCTCTCGGCTAATGAGAAAAC